TCCGACACATTTTTACCGACCTTTGCTATACATTTTGTAGACAGAGCAATAACCTGATAAGGATGTTAGAGAGACACAAGGAGATACTTTACTTCCCTAAGTACTGAAAGTATGGGAAGATAATTGCTTCGGACATTTATCCATAGTTATAAGCATTATGCCACTATAAATAATTCAAATTCTTGGATTATTTTTTAAAGTTTTTATAGCATCCACTTTTAATGGTAATAAAATAGAAAATGAAAGAAAAAACTGTAAATTCAGAAATTCTTTCAGACAAAAATGCAAGATTAATGATTGCGATTCAAGGAAAAGCTGCATACAGATATACCTATCAGATATCAGAATCGATGTGAGTTCTTATTATAGTGATACTCAGTCACCCAGTTGCATTATTCTCTTTAATAAAAACCTTGCAATAATTTCTGAATTTACAGTAGATCTTTTTTTACCCATTCTCATTCAGTTTAGATTCAACTTATTATGTTGTATGCTGTCATAGAAGTGAAGATACAGGTTTTATTTCCCATGTGATTTCATTATAATTTATACAGGAAATTCAAATTAGGGTATTTCGGGAAAACAAATGTAACATAAATTCAATAATAATATAGACAAGACAAGACAATATTTTATTTGAGTCTCACCTCTTATAAAACATTTGCATAATATTACAACTTCACATATAAAACAAGAGCCACTCTAAAAAGAGTTATGAGAGACTATATAATTGCTATCAAATTTTTTCTCATTCGATCAAAAGTAATAAATCTTAAGATTTCATCCCACTGGTCACTCATAATCACTTTGTATTGGAAAAAAGTGTTGAAGCAAATTAAATTTGATAAGCATTTTTTTACTTTTCCAGCCTCATTCAATTTTAAAAGTTACTGCAGTAGGAGTTTCATTTCTTTATATTTCTAACTGATTGGAATCCTTTGTTTTTTTATGTTTTAACACCTGACTTTCAGCATTATTGGCTATCTCATGGTGGCCAGTTTTATGTTGGTGGAAGAAGCCAGATCATGGCCGGAGAGAACCACGACCTTTGGCAGGAAAACTGACAATCCTGAATATGTCACAGAGACAACAACCTGACCAAAGAGCAGACAACAGCCAAAGGCCACCAATGGGTCTTCAATGCAGCGAGAAAATCCTGCACCCGGAGGTGGTCCTCAGCTGGCCCCTAAATAAAATTGTGTGCTAGTTCAGTAAAAATGGACGTCACACTAAACTCCAAAACATATAAATGAACTAAAATGAAAAAAACATACAAGACTAACAAAGGCTAGAGGCTCCTGACTTGGGACAGGCGCAAAAACTACCTTGACCAAAAACTTTAACCTGAAGCGGGACAGACAAACGGACGGAAGAATGAACGGATGCACAGACCGAAAAACATAATGCCCCTCTACTATTGTAGGTTGGGCATAAAAAAGAAGAACACATCCGTGATATTGCGGGTCTGTGGCTGAATTAAAGTACTTATGCCTTATCATTAGTATTTGTATTGTCAAATGATAAAGTCATGCAGTTTATAAGGTGCACAGTTTCTCTGCTATCAAAATATTTCTGTTTGAACCTGTCCTGGTTTTCTTACTACAACCTAAAACTACATGTGACATTTACTATTGGTATCGGCATCGTATTGGACCCAGAACTTGTTAATTATTGGTAATATTAATTATGTGGAAAACAAAAGGGCCTGGAATGGTGTAATTTTCAATCAACACTATTGTCCTATATTAGTTATATATAAACATGATAAAGTTGAATTTTTTTATTCATCATTTTAACATCATGCTGGCTATCAAATTATATCTTGTTATTCTAGAAGTGTAGATACAAAAGAAAAGATATATTTTTCTTGTAACTTCAGCACTGACAGTAAGGCAGTGATGAAAATCTTCACTGGCAGTGAATATGTGTTGAAAATCCTCACAGGCAGTAAATCAGTGTTGAAATTCTTCACTGACAGTATTTCCCTGTTGAAAATCTTCACACAGTAAATCAGTGTTGAAAATCATCACTGACAGAAAATCAGTGTTGAAAATTCTCACTGACAGTAAATCAGTGTTGAAAATCTTCACTGACAGTGAATCAGTGTTCAAAATCCTCCCTGACAATAAATCTTCACAGACAGTAAAGTGGTGATGAAATCTTCACTGGCAGTGAATAAGTATTAAAAATCTTCACTGGCTGTAAATCAGTGTAAAAAATCTACCTGACAGTAAATCAGTGTTGAAAATCTTCAGACATTACAGCGGTGATGAAAATCTTTAATGACAGTGAATAAGTGTTGTAAATCCTCACTGACAGTAAATCAGTGTTGAAAATCTTCACGGGCAGTGAATCAATAGTTGTAAATCCTCACTGGGAGTGAAACAAGTGTTGTAAATCCCCACTGACAGTAAATAAGTGTTGAAAATCTTCATTGACATTATTTCTGTATTAAAAATCCTCTGTGACAGTTGTTTAAAGTCGTTAAATCGTAAATCAGTGGGCAAATCTTCACTGACAGTAAATCAGTGTTGAAAATCTTCACTGACAGTAAATCAGTTTGAAAATCCTTTAAATTAATAACCGCATGCTTTAAATTTTACACAGCAATTGATAAATGTACTTTAAAATTCTCACTGATGGGTAAATCAGTGTTGAAAATCTTCAATGATAGTAAATCACTATTTTAAATCCTCACTGACAGTGAATCAATATTGAAAATCTTCAATGACAGTAAATCAGTGTTGAAAATCTTCACTGACAGTAAATCAGTTTGAAAATCCTTTAAATTTTACACAGCAATTGATAAATGTACTTTAACATTGGCAACACCCAACATATCTCCTTTTATTCAATTAAAAAAGAAGAAAATAAAAAACATTTTCAAAACCTTCAAAATCAATGATTCTATATAGATATAAGAAGACGTGGCATGAGTGCCAATGAGACAACTCTCCATCCAAGTCAAAATTTATAAAAGTAAACCATTATAGGTCAAAGTACGGTCTTCAACACGGAGCCTTGGCTCACAACCAACAGCAAGCTATAAAGGACCCCAAAATTACTAGTGTAAAACCATTCAAACAGGAAAACCAACGGTCTAATCTATATAAAAAACGAGAAACAAGAAACACTTATGAACCACATCAACAAACGACAACCACTGAACATCAGATTCCTGACTTAGGACAAGTGCAAACAATTGCAGCAGGTTTAAACGTTTTAATGGTACCAAACCTTCACCCTTATCTGAAACAATAGTGTTATCATCACAACATAGAAAGACACACTATAAAATATCAATTGAAATGGCTTAACTCAATCAAAAGAAATATTAACACCAGTGAACATACACTGAACAAATAAATTTGATCTATGATACAATGTAAATACAAAATAAATAAACTAAGGGAAGAATAATTAAAATAACATGTTATACCGCTGTGAAATGTTGAACAATATGCCAAATGCCAAATTCAGAACAAAGATAGCATCTAAAAAGTGAGATGTAAATCATTTTCTGTCAAAAAGTCAATGCATTGTTTTAAGCAATTAATTAACCTGGGTTTTTACCTGAGAGAGAATACCTTTGATATCTGCAAGAGAATTCCCCGTTCTCATAACTGATTAGAAATATTATTGTTTTAGTCTGTATGATTGTAAAAGCACTATATTTATCACATCAATGAATGCAAAAATTGCTTCAGGTATTCTTAGATGTCACAACTCCAATTTTCTACTTAGGGAGGAGCGTAATATATCAATACACAGAGATAATGTACCTGATTGATTTACTTTCAACTACTCAACTCTTAAAAAAATAATGATGTAAATAGAACACTAATAACTTTTCTGAATGTTTTAAGAACTGCTTTCAAATAGAAATTTTGCACTAACCTAGACTTTGCTTACAATTCAGGTTTTGGTTGTTAAACTTCATTAATTCGTTCATGGAATAAGTGAAAAAGAATATATATATATTAATATAACTGCCAAACTTTATTCCCCATTTACAGAGAGCAAATTTACAGATATAAGATGTAGAAAAATTTGAAATAAAATTCAGGATCTGACTATTCCATATAACACTATTATCCAAATCCAAAAGGTACCATTTTCACTTACTGTGGGGGTGGTGAAACTGGAATATTATGCACATTTTTTTTTTCCATAGTGTGAAAATTAAAGAATTCTTTTTTTTTCACACCATGGGAACTTGAATAACTTAAAAGCTATATATATACCTTGAGATTCAAAATGTTTAATATTGGGTGGGGGAGGAGGGAGGGGGAGATTTCAGGAATTGCTACATACAAATTTCTCAGAATACAGAGATTATAGTGGGATGATGTTTTTTCACTATATAAACAAATCATCTGTGTCTCTTACTTCAAGCCAGTTTGACCTTGGTCTCCATCTGTTATCAGCACACAGTTTTAAAACAAATATTTCAAAGACACAAAATAGATGAATGAATTGCAATTGTTTCTTAGATAATCATAATGTAAACATGATGCACATATTCAAAAATATAAAATGTAATTAATGATCTTTTAACAAAATTACTTTTTTATATGTACTCTTATAAGCTCCTTTTACAAAGATCTAGACACTGAAAATTTCTTACCACTTACAAAGAAAAAACAGGTCCAATTGTTCCGTTATCAATGGCTATATTTGATAGTGTTAAAAATATTATATGCAACTTTTTACATAAATCAAATGTAATTTCCTGTTTGCTTTGCAATTCTCCTTCAATTTATGCCATATGTGTGCCCTACATCTATTATTTGACAAAATAAATAAGAATCAACTGCATGCATGTAAACAAATCTGGGACATGACCTTGCTTTATAAATATATATGTTCTACATGTGATGGATCTCAACCCCCACTTAATTGTGTGACTGCTTAACAATCTCTCCAATCTGTGACAGTTTGCTGAAGTTGAATTACCTCCCTTAATGAACTTGGAACAAGATAAATTATAACATACTGACCTTCTAGGTTAAGACATCTGTACATGGCTTTTCTGTCCAGGAAAAATCCCAAATGAGCCAACTCCTCCCCCTCAACATCATTAACCTCTTCAGGTGTTAATTTACCTGGAAAAAAAATTACAACATTTTACAGTGAAATCTATGTAGTTCTGGTAAAATTCATGTAAAAGAACAAAAACGCTAAAGGTATATGGATGGAATAGGGAACCATATTGCAATTAACAATGGTTTCGAACTACCACATGCATGGTTCTAACTCATAACCTAAATGTTGAGAGGCCTGCTTGATACAGTAGATGAATTTCTTTGATCACTATAAATACAAATATTTTTATTGGCACAATTAAACTCATTAACAATAAATGATTAAGACCTATTGCATATATATAATTATATTAATTGACATGGTAGAATGAAAAGTTACATATTGATGTATCATATTAATTCACTATTCCTTATATTTAGACACTCTGATATGAAAGAGGAAGACAGTCTAAGTAATAATGCTGAGCTATTGTTAACCAATAGAGATATTTTATCATCAGTGGTAATGTTAGGCTGTATTTTAAATATAACATTTATTTTATTTTCTAATATTTCTCGTTTTGAGGTAAATCTATTACATTGAAATAAGAAATGTTGTTCATCTTCAATTTCCCCATTTTTAGACAGGACAGTATCTTTCCTCTCTAGGATAGTTAAGATGTCTTCCCCTTTCAATCAATAAAGAATGTGCACTTATGCATATTTTGCATATTGCTGCTCTATCTTTTAAATTGTTTAGTGAATCAACATATGATGATGGTCCTTGACCCATTTTGTAGACTTGACGAAAGAAACTGAGTTTAGAAGATTCCTGTATGTTTGCATTTTGATTTTGCAAGCACTAATCATAAATTCTTTGTTTTACTTGTCCCAAGTGCTGCTTTGTTAAACAACTTTTTTCTACAAGATATGAATATCCTAATTTTTGTAAACTGCATTTAGTTTTTTTGATCCAGGGGTTTGAAAACCTTGTTGCACAGAAAATTTTATTTATAAGTGTATTTTCTGATGAAAGTATATGCTCTAGAAAATTTATGCTTGAAAATACAATTTTACTTTTGAGTGGAATTCAACCAAGCTCAGCACGACAAGCATCATTTGAAGCCTTGCAATGAAAACCAAGTACATCTTTGATAAATTTAATGTGTAGTTTTTCAAAGGGTTCAGAGTCCCTTAAGGATGAGTAAACGCCCCAAATTTCACAACTGTACATAAGTATAGGTGATATTTATGTATCAAACAATTTTTCAAGTAGTCTACATGGATTATTCAGACCAACAGTTTTCTTTATTTTGAAATACCGGGCTTTTCTTGCCTTTTCCAAAAGAGTATTAATGGCTAAATTGAAATTACCATTACATTTTATTACAATACCTTAATAAGAATAATAACTAACAGTTTCAATACAAGAATCATTATAAGTAAATTTGTCCAAAAAAGTTTTACTATTTGAATTAAATACAATAACTTTGGACTTATCTGTGTGTTAACTTGTAGTTTCCAACAGTCACAATAATCATATTAAGCTTAAGACTGTTTTGTAGTCCTTTTTTACTTTGGTCACTTGGCCACCAAGGTTCCTTAGATTTATAATTCTTATATTATTTGTGAAATTTGGAATCTTTCATAATTTTTGGTTTCAAGCGTTTTTCGTTAGTAGTGATTTTTGTGGGATGTTGATCATTTTATAGAGGAATTAAGATAAAAAATTTAATTAACTAATAAGATTGAACACATTTTTTCCAGAGCAAATTGGTGAACTTTAAACAATAATAAACTAATAAAAATAATTTGATAATTCACTATTTATTTCTGATCATAATTTGGCATTGATATTGCAGTGGGCACAACATTCTAAATACTGATTAGGATCTGTCCAAAAAATATCTCCCTAAAAGAAAGAAATATTTACTAGGATCTTTGGTATTCGTAGCTAATCTACAGCTATCACTAGCCTGTCAACACTGAGGTTGTGAGATCAAACCTGATACTGGCAGGTGCATTCAACTCTGATTTTAATTGACCAGGATTGTAAAATTTCCTGCTGATGGTTGGTGGTTTTCTCATTGCACTCCAGTTTCCTCAACCAATAAAAACTGGCCCCTTAAATAAAGACAAGAGTGCTAAAAGTGGCCTAAAAACCATCAATCAATAAATAAAAGAATAATGTGTCTGAGGACACGATTGCCATTTTCCAAGTTAAATATGGGCATAACTCTAGAACAGTGAATGACTCACAACCCAAATTTGAACTCTGTCTGCATGTTGTGGTTCTTAGCATTGTGTATGAGTTTCATAAAATTTGAATGAGACAAACTTAAGTTAGAGAGCAGAAATGAAAAAAATTGCAATTTTTCAAGTTATAAAGGGGAATAACTCTAGAAGGGTATGTGAATCACTGCCCAAATTCGAACTCTATCTGCAAGTTTTGGTTCTTAGCATTGTGTATGAGTTTTATAAAGTTTAGATGAGGAAAACTTAAGTTATAGTGTGGAAACGATAATGGGACAGACGGACGGACGGATGGTCATGGGTAACACTAAAGCCCCCGCTGACTAAGGGAGGGACACAAAAAGCTAAGGGAAGTAAAGGTTATAAAATAATGTAAAGCATCTATTCTTAAAATCAGTGATGATTTTTTGGGGTTTGAAAAATTATGGTTTATCTGTAATGAAAACAGGAAAACATTATATCCCATTTAACTGTCAAATTATCTCCAATTAAGACATGAGATAAATTACAACCTTAGTGCTTTCTGACATTTATTATTCATATTTGCATAAATTATGATAAATATGGCAGGAAAGTGTTAGAGTTATTTCATATCTAATTCATAATGATAAGTACATTAGTTAAATACATAACCAGAAAATACATTTTCTAATTATTGCCATTAGTGGCAGATTCAAGAGGGGGTGGGGCTTTGACAGGAAAATATATATTTTTTTTGCATGAAGTTGTATAGTTTTAAATTTTCTTCAATAATAACACCCACTTTCAAAAATCCCGGATCCACCCCTGGCCATATTCATTGCATTGACTGACTGATTACTGTTTACTGAAATCCAGTGGCAAATATTTCAAGCATATTTTTGCAAAGGTTAAATACAGAGCACTGTAACTCTAAACATGAGGCATCAATGGCAGCAGATTTAACAACATTATTCCGACAGGAAGTGGTTGTGAATTTATTCTTCCCAAACAGATGTCCCACAGATTGGGTACAGATACCATAATTCTGTAACCATCCAACAGCATACTGTTTACTGTTATGCAATCAGTCAACAGCATTGAATACTGTTATGCAACCAGTCAACAGCATTTAATACTAGTATCCAAGGTTTTACACCATTACTAACTGCATTATCAGTGCTTTGTCCAGCAGCAAATATTTCATGTATATGCAAGACCATAAAACGTTAAAACAAAGAATATATATAAATACCCTGGGTTATGTATTCTAAGTGAAATTTGTCAACATGTTAGCACACTTGGTGACAGTCCCAAGGTAGAAATGTCATACTTCCAACACACATTACATGTACTTAAAGGATGTTCGCAACTCTATCTAAAAATAACAAGCTTTGTAAAAAGACTGTTATAATTTGATAGTATGTAACTAAAGGAACTAAAAGAGCCGAAAAAAATGAAGGGTCCATGTACTTGTTTTCTACATATATACCATTGAAAATCTAGCAGGAAATAATTCTCTCTAGACTTTCCATATATTTAACATTGACACCTTTTTCCTTTCAAAAGTATTGAAAAAATAACAAGGATTTCATAAAACTTTCAAAAATGACTTTTAAAACTATATGGAATAAAATTATGAAAAGAAAAGAAGGGGTCAGTGGGAAAATTTTTTATTGGCACTACATGGATAAAAGTAGAGGATTCCAAATATCTGACAAAAAGTCAAAAACAAGAGTAGCGAACATCCTCAACTCTGAGCTCTGAACACATTATTACTCTTCATACTCCTATTTTAATTGTGTGTGGTAATAAATTAGCATATGTCAGAATCATGTAGAATAGAGCTTTTTTTCAGCATGATTATACACCTTTTTTCCTCATTATCTTTGCAAAATATACAAAAAGGTTTTAACAACTAATGAACAAAAAATAGGATAAAACATATGAAATTCTCCAATTCTGAGCAAAAATCAAAAAAAATATTTCCCCCTCCCTCCTGCCCTCTCCTACAAAAAAAATTGTGTTCATTTCTCACATCTTATCCGGAACCTTGAAATTAATACGCAGATGACTTAAAAGTTTAGCATGAATTTGATTTAAGATGGCCTTACATCAATATAAGAAGGAAATGATAGATTCTATTTGATTATTTCAAATCTTATCACAATTATACATTTCAAGGTCGAAAAACAGATCATTGTTTGCTCTATAGTTTTTATGTATGACGAAACTGTTCTCCTCGTGTCATTTTCCGACAATATCTCATTCATTCTCATCTAATTCTGCAAGTACATCTATTTTGTACCAAAATTAACATCCAGCTGTCTATTTCTGTAACAGAATCAATAAACATTTTTTTTCTTTTCTTGAAACAGAAAATCTATTTTCAAATCCTTGTATTAGCAACACAAGCCAAAACAAATCGCTACGAACAAAAGTGCAATGAATTCTCAGATTTTAAATTGACTACCTTTTTTAGATTTAAATCTAATTATTATTAAGCACTAAAAAATGTTGCTGAATAAAAAAATACTGCCAATTTAACCTCAAACAAGGGTGGAATTATGAAAAAAATGAAATTGTCCCTTAAATCATTCAGCAAGATAATTAAGGGGCTGGATAGGGGGATGGGTCCTTCATTTCCTTTAATTCATTAATATTTTAGAACATTTTTGTCTACTCTTTATCTTTTTTTACCATTTTTATATGTTCTATATATTTCAGCACGCCATTATTCTCTCTTTATTTTTTGTGTGCATATTTTTCTCTTTATTTTCTCTTTTTGTCCTTCATGCTACATCTTTTGCTCGATTATGCTCTATACTAGCTGTAAACCAAAATTAGTGATACATATTATGTATGAGCTG